TTCTGAGAGACGCGGTTCTCTCAGCATGCTGTGTGGTTTGCAATGCGGCCCTGTGACTCTCAAACCTGTCTCACTGTCAGGGCAAGCCTCTGACCCTCCTGTCTTTTGCATATGGCATGAGCACCTGTGCAGTGGACTCCAACCTCGTGCTCACACTGGCCATCCTGGCTGCAGCTTTCTGCTGGTGTGACCTGGGAGGCAGTGTTGAGGGCTTTGGCCACCCTCAAGGGCTGCAGCCTGGCCACCTGCGAATCTGGGGAGTGAACCAGCAGGTTCTCCCCCTTCATCTCCCCGCTGCCTGCTGTAATAGGGACAGAGGAGCCCCTGAACACTGTGGTTGTGGGGGTGCCCTGGTCTGCTGCTGGGGGACACCATCCACACAGCCTCTTAAACTTGACCTACTGCTCAGGAAATCATGGCCCCTTTCTCAAGTGGGTGGCTGTCCCAGCCCCAGTGTGCCAGACCAGCAAGTGGACTCCACACAGGACATAGGTGCACATGAGGTCCCCTCATTGTACACTGACCTCAGGAAAGGAGTATTTGGGGCTGGGAAGGTTGGGATGGAGCCATAATTGGGGCTGGGATCCTTGTCAGATGCCAGCCACCCTTCTGCCATGGATGACACAGCCGAAATACAGCTACCTGGAAGTCCACACCTGCTAGACCCTTCCAGGGCTGCTGTTATTGTCTGCCACCCACCCAGCCCCACATGTGTTAGCCTTGGAACCTGTAGCCCACCCATGGGTAGATTGGCACAGTCCCTGAGACCCACCACCCCAGCTGTGTTAGCCTCACGGCCTGTGGCCTGCCCATGGGTGGACTGGCACAGTCCCTGAGACCCACCACCCCAGCTGTGTTAGCCTCACGGCCTGTGGCCTGCCCATGGGTGGACTGGCACAGTCCCTGAGACCCGCCGCCCCAGCTGTGTTGGCCTCAGAGCCCGTGGCCTGCCCATGGGTGGACTGACACTAAGCAAGGCTCTTGGTCGGCTTGAGGTAGGCTCCTTACATGCACACCTATGCCATGTTGTAGCCCAGGTGCGGCAGCCTGGGCCCAGGTGTGTAGGGAGCAGCTGGGATGGGCAGATGCCAGCTTCAGCATCTGTGGAGGCCCCAGCCCAAGGTGGAGTACTCCCAGAAACCCCTGACCGGCCCCAAGTGCCAGGATAGAACTTGCTATTCCCCCAGCAGCAGTGTTGGGAAGTGGACCATACTGATTGCACAGTGGACAGCAGGGGCCTCAGCAGGCACAGGTGGAGGGGTTTTTCCAGGGCCTCTGCAACTTTGAGGGTCCTGGGATAGCTCCTCTCGTGGCCACGGAGCTGTCCACGTCTGCTTTGTGGACATTGTTCACACCCCAAAAGGCCACAGTGGCTAGAGCTGAGCTGGTCTGATGCCAAGAGTCGAGAGTTTCTTCTGGGTCTCCCATAGGGGTGCAGGGTCCTAGGTACCCAAGTCATCCTCCTCTGCCTTTACAGGCCATAAGCAGGGAGTGGGATCGGAAGTAGAGCAGTCGGGACTTGAACTGGTGGCCATATGGGATGCTGTCGTGGCAGGCTGTGGCTAAATGCAGACCTGGCCCCTTCATTCACCTCTCTATGCACTGTCTTTTCCTGAAACTGTGGATCGATAATCATTTGTAGTTTTGATCACATGGGCATGGACCTGTGGGAACATGTGGGACTCTGGCTTTGCAATTCCCACAGTACCCAGGTCTGCTGGACATTGCTCGTGTATCATCACCTGGCGTCCATTTGGCCAGCCTGGAGGGCCCCCCTTGGTATCTCTGCATTGGCGGGCAGGGACAGTGCATCTGCCTGTGCTCAACCCGCCCCACTTCTGAGGGCAAGTGTTGCTGACACAGGTTCCCCACTGGGCAGCACTTGTTTGCTCTCTGTGGCTTGAGAGGGGCAAATCCTGTCTCCCTTGTTGCTTTCAGTGCCCTCAGAGCTTCTGTTCTGAGTTCAGTTACCTGTTGGTTTGGGTCCCTGCAGAGACTTCTCATCCCTGACATGGCACAGCTGACTGAGGCCGATTCCAGGCACGCAGGGGCAGCTCAGTGTGAGACCAGCAGAGTCACACAGCACCACACACATGCGCTTGCGTCGCTGGTCTACATTCACTGTAGCATGAGTCTCACTGTGGCATGAGTCGTGGCAGACAAAGGGAGGAAAGGAAACAAATGCCAGGTGAACAAATGTGGTTTACACATGAGACAGATGGAGGGAATGGATTCTGACAGGATCCTGGAAGCCTGCATGTGAGAGACATGCCACGGAGCAGCTGGAGCCTGTGGGATTTGGCCACACTTGGGCACAGCCTTTAGCCCTGCTGACTTGTACAAAGTTGCAACTTCTGTTACCTGCGTTGTTGGGAACAATGTGTGCTATGGGAATTGCACAGCAATGAAGCAGCTTTCTAAAAGCTTCCTGGAGAATGGGGGGCACGGGGACACACTGTTGTTTCTGATACCAGAGGGAGAATCTGCTGCTTGGCCAGGCACCATGATGTGGTGCTGGGGAGTTGGGGGAGCAGAATTGGGATGCTGACTATTGGAATACAGGGACTGAGTTGGGAATTTGTTCTCATACTCAGAAGTTCCATCCAAACACTCCACAGCGAGTCCAAGGCTTAGCTGTCTGAGTTCTGACACCTGCTTCCCCGGGCGGCATGTGAGAACTCACCCCACCCCTGCAAGGACCAGATGGAGCTCCAAGTTCCTAGCTCCGGCCTGGGCCAGCCCTGCACGCCTCAGGACTTCATGGAGTAAACCAACAGACTGGGTAATTGATCTACACTTGGTGCTATCAAAATCGTAGAATTTTTCCACCCTGGAAATTGACCAAAAAATAATTTAAAAAAAACAACAACAACATTCTTTTAGGGACCAACAACGTGCCATAATAGGCTAATCCTCTGCCTGAAGTACTGCCATCCTATATGGGCACCAGTTCAACTCCTTGCTACTCCATTTCCCATACAGCTCCCTGTGTGAGGCCTGGGAAAGCAGTGGAGAATGGCTGAAGTCCTTGGGACCCTCACCCACATGGAAGGTCCAAAAGAGGCTCCTGGCTTTGAATCAGCTCAGCTCTGGCCGTGGCTGCCATTTGGGGAGTGAGCCAGCAGATGGAAGATCTTTCTCTTTTTCTCTCTGCCTCTAACTCTGCCTTTCAAATAAATAAATCTTTAGAAAACTTACCCTTAAAGTAAAAACAGACTATGTGTTAGAGCAGCTTAAGATGAACAGCGGCAATGGGCTGGATCCTTGGGATCCCTGCCTGCCTGGAGGCACAGCTGTCAGGCTGGCTCTCAGGGGTGCACCCTGTGGGTGTGGACAGACAATGGCAGACACCACAGAGCGGCTCACTGCCCAGGACCCTGGCTGTGTCTGTCTCTCCCAGACGCCAGGTGTGGCCCCCTGTTCCCATATCATGCAGGGCACCTCCAGGCTTCTCCTGGGGGTGGCATGGCATGTGGTGTGTATGTGGCACATGGCATTCATGAGTGACACGTGTGTATGAGATGTGATCTGTGATGTGGTATGTGTGTGGCACATGATTCATTAACGATACGCGTGTGTGAGATGTGGTATGTATGGTGTGGTCTGTGTGGCACATGGCATTCATGAGTGACATGTATGTGTGAAATGTGGTATGTGCATATGGAATGGTCTGTTAATGGCACATGTCACTCTCTTAAGTGACACCAGTGGTGTGTGTGAAATGTGGTACATGCGTGGCATGTGGTGTGTATATGGTATGTTGTGTGTGTGGTACTTGGCACTCGGGAGTGGCACATGTGTGGTATGTATGAGGGGCAGCCATCTGCTGGCCAACAGCAGATTTTGCACTTCCTGCCCCACCCCCCCAGGTCTTCTCTGTTGAAGATGTCTCCTGGGTCTTGGGCCCATTTTCCATCTGATCTGTCCAGCATTTTCCTCTCAAGTTTTTAAATTCTCGATTTTTGTGTGTGTGAAGTTTGTCTAAAGGTGACAAGCACAGGCATGGGCTGTGTTCAGGGGAGTGGTCTGGGCGGGAAAGGAGCTCTCTCCCCACTGCCTGGATGCCTAGGAGCCTAGGAGGGGTGGGTTACTCAACACCACCCCAGGTCCTGGTAAGAGGTTACAACTTTGACAAGTGGTCACTTGACCTACAGGACCCCAGATGTGACCATGGGTGGGGTGCTGTTCCTCACCCTGGCCCCCAGGCTTGGGGCTTCCACCTCAGGGGTACAATGAGAAGCAAATGGTACAGCCAGGGGCTGGGCAGCAGATTCCAGAGTCCTGGCCTGGACATTCTCCCTGGAGGCTGGAGGCCTGCCACCTGCTGGCCCAGCAGGGCACAGCTTACATGTGGCCCACACGGACAGCCCCAGTGGCACACTGGGAAGCACCTGCTACGTGGGACACACTCAACGCAAACTGCGTCATCAGGTCAAGAGCACAGATGTGAAATCAGAAGCCAGCATGTGCTCTGATCCGAGCTGGTTCTCCCTGCCGACCCCAGGCTGTAATCCTAGCACCACATGCAGGAGGGGTCAAGGGCCAGCAGGTGTTGCTCCTGCCTACCCTTCCTGCAGCCTTGACAACAGCCGCATGGAGAGTCCTGGTCTGTGGGCTCTCACACGGAAACCATGACATGCTTGCTGAACACCCTAAGATGGGGTGCAAGTGTCCTCCGACAGTACTGTACCCGCTTGCCTTGAGGACAGTGGGGTGAACCGTGTGTTGTCATGAGAACCAGTCGTTGAGCCTTGAGCGAGTTACACCCTCATGACGGCTGGTCTTTACTGAAAAACACACACATGGAGGGGCTACACGCTATGCCCCATGGCCCTGGCTGTGACCGGGCTGGGAGCAGGAACGCAGTCTCGGTTCCCATGAGCTGACAAAGCCTCAGGGACGGGTCCCTGTTAGCATGAAGCTGGACCCAGAACTGGGACCCTGGGCCTCTGGCAGGGATTGTAGGCACCATAACTGCCTGGCTGAGTGGAAACTGGCAGTTCACACGGCCTGGAAAGCATTTTACTGAAACACAGTGATAATAAAAGGCAGACACAGGATTTCAGGAACAAAAGCAAATTCACAGCTCCTTCAAGTAAATACAGAAGTCTTAAGACTCCGAGTCACAGAGATGTTAAATAACAAGTACTGGATAAAGGCTGCGGCTCTACAGATACACAATACATTAAAAAGCCAACTAGCTCTCTTCACCAAAAAACGGACAGACATAAAAAAATAAAACCAGTGAATGAACGAGAGGAAGATAATTGCAGTTTCTGCGAAAAGGCACATCCTGGCAACAAGGCCAGGCTGACTGGGACCCTGCCACGCTCAGTCACAGCCAGGCTGACCAGGACCCTGCCACACTCGGCCACGGCCAGGCTGATTGGGGCCCCTTCCATGCTCAGTCTCGGGCAAAAGCTTGGAAAGCAGCAGCAAGAGCTGCCATCCACCGTCGGGGTCACCCTAGATACCACCGAGCCCCCACTCCAGGGCAGTGCAGCCAGAGCAGGACCCGGGCAGGGGCAGCTGTACAGGTGGTCTGTCCAGTGGGTGACCTCACAGACTTGACCGTCGTTCTGGCCGGGGCACACACTTCAAAAGGGCAACTCTCCACAGCACTGGGGCCAGTAAGAGGCTAAGCGTGGTCACACTCAGGATAAGGAGGTACACCTGTAACAGGTAAACACGGAGAGGTCACAGGGTGAGGAGGGACTCCTGTATGTGTGTGTCTGTAACAGGTACACATGTCCCATGGCCATGTACACAGTGGCTCACCTATACAGGGACATGGCCCTGTGTGGTCAGGAGTGTAAGGAGGCTCAGCTGCAAATCACATCTCATGTTACAACCAGGTTCAGCCACTGTTGAGGGGCTCTGAGGTCATTGGGATTTGTTGTCAGTTCTGGTGGATCAGGTCAAAGCCTAGAGTGGGCTAGCCTGATAGCTGTCTTTGGGTGGCCGACTATTTGATTGGCCACTCTGACTCCCTGGGCCGTGGTCAATTGGGACCAGGATAGGTTGGTACCCCCGACACCCACTCCACTGCTGTTACCTCTGCACATTGCCACAGTGCTGCCTGGTCCATCAGGGTGAGGGAGTGCATAGTGGCCTCCACTGTGGGCCCACGCCACCATGGGGAAGCAGGTAGCCACTCGTGGGGCTCACAGAAAGGTTTTACCTCCTCACAGGGAATGTTAACTGCTGCCGCAGGTGATGGTTAATGGCTCAAACCAGCACCAACTTTGTCCTGAAGGATTCCACTTCCTGCCCACAGCCTCAGGCCCACCATGACCTGAGCCAGCTACCAGTGCATGGTACCCCGACTCAGAGGAGGAGCATGCTCTGGCCAGCAAGTGGACACTCACCTCCCGGGAGATGATGCCAGCTCTCCGGGCTCGGCTCCCCAGGACGAAGGAGAACTCGCTGACCTGAGCCAGCCCTGCAGACACAATCCACTTAATGTACTGGCTGCTCCTGGGCAGGATGAGGGTCAGGACCAATGCCGCCAGGACAAACTGCAAGAGGTGTGAGCTGTTACCACAGGGCACCCACCCTGGCTCACTGAGGGTACCAAAAGGCAAATTCACAGGGTGGGAGGGCAGCCTGTGGAGCAGTGATGGGGGCTGGGCCCTTCCCTGCATAAGGTGGGAGGGCAGCCCGTGGGGCAGTGATGGGGGCTGGGCCCTTCCCTGCATAAGGTGGGAGGGCAGCCCGTGGGGCAGTGATGGGGGCTGGGCCCTTCCCTGCACAGGGTGGGAGGGCAGGCCGAGGGGCAGTGGTGGGGGCCGGGCCCTTCCCTGCATAAGGTGGGAGGGCAGGGCTGAGGGGCAAGCCACAGCACTGGGAGTTGGGCCCTTCCCTGCACAGGGTGGGAGGGGAGGGCCGAGGGGGAGTGATGGGGGCCAGGCCCCTCCCTGCACAGGATGGGAGGGCAGGCCGAGGGGCGAGCCACAGCACCGGGAGTTGGGCCCTTCCCTGCCTAAGGTGGGAGGGCAGGGCCAAGGGGCGGGCCACAGCACCGGGAGTTGGGCCCTTCCCTGCACAGGGTGGGAGGGGAGGGCTGAGAGGCAGTGATGGGGGCCGGGCCCTTCCGTGCAGACAGGCTCCTCAGGAAGTTGGAGAGTGACAAGTCAGCTACAGTGACCCAGAGCATCAGAGATGCTCTCCTCTGCAGCTTCTATTAATATAAAAACTCAATGCCCTGTGGTTGGGGCAGCTAGTACTGGAGTCAGCCCTGGCTGCAGCGCGGGCATGTGCATCTGCCAGCCACAGTGTCTCATTTCCCAACTGCTAGAACCCTCTGGGACAAACACCCCAACCCCGAGGTCCCAGATTGACCACCTTGGCCCTGCCCCCACGCGGACATATGACGGTGGGGTAGCATGGGCTACCCTTCAGGCCTAGCAGTCTTTCAGGGTCCCCTCTAGGAAGTGGCCAGTGACTTGGACAGCGTACCTTCATGGCCACCACGGAGAGTGTGAGGAATGCCAGCACAGCAAGCTCGTAGACCACGAATGTGGGGAACACATGGAGCCCTGGTGGGACACAGGGTAGTCAACGCCAGCTCCCCCGCTTCTGTCACATGCTTGGCCAGCAGCTCAGCGAGCTCCAGCACTGGGGCTTGGCTGCAGCCCGATGCTGGGAGGCGTTGGCAAAGGTACATGGACACCACAGGGTGGCTCTGGGAGGAGGCTGTTGGCCAGCCTGGCTCTCCTGTATGAAACTACCCTGCCTGCTGGACGGGTAAGGGCCAGGATGCTGGACGGGGCCAGGACACTGGATGGGCGGGGCCCAGGACACAGATGAATGAGAGCCCAGGGCACTGGATGGGCAGAGCATAGGACGCTGGATGGACAGGACCCAGGATGCTGGATGGGTCCAGGACACTGGATAAGTGAGAGCCCAGAATGCTGGACAGGACTCAGGACACTGGATGAATGAGAGCCCAGGACACTGGATCAGTGAGGGCCCAGAATGCTGGACGGGGGAGGGCCCAGGACACTGGATGAATGGGACACTAGACACTAGTGCCTAGGACACTAGATGCACGGGGGCCCAGGATGCTGGGTGAGTGAGGGCCCAGGACACTGGATGCACAGAGCCCAGGACACTGGATAAGTGACGGTGGATAAGTGACAGCCCAGGACACTGGATGAATGAGAGCCCAGGACACTGGATGAGTGAGGGCCCAGAATGCTGGACGGGGGAAGGCCCAGGACACTGGATGCACAGAGCCCAGGACACTGGATAAGTGATGGTGGATAAGTGACGGCCCAGGACACTGGATGAATGGGAGCAGCCACAGGACAGAGGCTGCTGGACTTGACTGGGACACCAGCATGCCACTTGTGCTTCACTCATAGGCACACTACAGATCGAACCTTCTATCCCGACCCAGGGAAATTTCTCCACATGGGCAAGGGGCATCTACCCTGTGGTCACACGTATGTCCCAGGAGTGGATCTAATCCTGCTGCACCTGACAGGAGGGACCTATCGGTCAGTCCACCCTGGCTCGGATGTGGCCTCCTTGTCCAGCCTAGTCATTTTTAACTCCCACCTCACTGTGAGACTCCACACTGGGTCATTAATTGGCCTGATCTCAATACTGTTGTGGCACAGAGAAGGCAGAGGCCCAGGGGAGGCACAGACAGGGAGGAGGCAGTGAGAGGGGCATGCTCAGGGCTTACCCAGGACACAGAAGGTACCCACATCAGTCATACATACGAAGAGGATGGCAAAGTTGGAAACACTGGGGCATCACGGTATGTGGCCACACACAAGAAATTTACCTATCGAGGCGAAGAAGATGATGGCCAGGAAGTCGCGAATCGGCTCCATGTATGCGGCAGTCTCCTCGGTGGCCACGTGGCCCTGTGAGGAAATCAGGGCCCCAGCCAGGAAGCAGCCCAGCTCCATGGAAACATCCAGCAGCTCGGTGACCTGAGCACAAGGACATACGGTGCCCCACGTCAGGGCCCCAAGCACGACTGGCATGGGGCCTCTGCTGAGTGGCCCAGGACAATGCCAGCTCAATCTACTGGATCTCAAAATCCCTGAGATGATCTCTCGGCTAGGCTGTGTCCAAGCCCTGAGAACCTACCAGCATTTTTCATAACTATGACTGTGTGTATAAGACCTTTTCCTTATCTCAACTCCATGGGCAGCCTGAGGGTGACATTCAAAGGTGACTCCCTATGAGGCAGCAAGCAGACCCAGTGGTGGGCACAAATCCACAAGAGGCTAATTCGAAAATAGACTTGTTTTCATCTTATTTAAAAGGCAGAGGGAGACAGACTTTCTGTCTACTGGTTCACCACAAATACCTGCGGCAGCCACATGGTTGGTGCGACCCAGTTCCTGAAATGTCATGACTGGCACGCTGGGTGCAAAGGCCATGAACTCCGTCATGACGTCAGGCTGTGGGATAGTGTGAGAGGTGAGAACCAGGAACTTCACACTCATCACACACCCACCACACATGCCACATACCACATGCACACAGTGCTGACATAGCACACATACCTGCACAGCCACTCACACCTGCACAGCCACTCACACACACCTACAGCCACTCACACACACCTGCACAGCCTCACACACACCTACACAGCCTCACACACGCCTGAAACAGCACACACACACACCTGAACACCCTCACACACACCTACAGGCACAGCCACTCACACACACCTACAGACACTCAACCACACCTGAAACAGCACACACACATACCTGAACACCCTCACACACACCTGCCTAGCCACACACACACCTGAAACAGCACACACACACACCTGAACACCCTAACACACACCTGCACAGCCACTCACACACACCTGCACAGCCACTCACACACACCTACACACCACTCACACACACCTACAGGCACAGCCACTCACACACACCTGCACAGCCTCACACACACCTACACACCACTCACACACACCTGCACAGCCACACACACACACCTGAAATGGCACACACACACACACACCTGCACAGCCACTCATACACACCTGCACAGGTTCATACACACCTACACAGCCACTCACACACCTGCACAGCCTCACACACACCTGCACAGCCACTCACACACCTGCACAGCCTCACACACACCTGAAATGGCACACACACACACACCTGCACAGCCTCACACACCTGCACAGCCACTCACACACACCTGAAACAGCACACACACACACACCTGCACAGCCACTCACAAATACCCAGAGGCAAGTCCAGCTCTTTGGATTCTGAGATGCAGACAGAGGCAAGAGGCATGTGGAAACGCAGGCGAGAAGACTGATGGCCATCCCCAGAGTTCAATGCTACACGGAGGCCCCTAGCTGAGGACATGGCAGCTTCCTGCCCCAGGGGCAACTCGGGGACCCTCACACAGAATGTAACAGCACCCACCACCATGAAAACTCCTGAGAACCAGGTCATGCCAAGCTTAAGAACATCTGTAAAAAACACTCTACTGAGTGTGAAAGCAAGGCCAAAGCAGAAGCACCACCGTTTGGGAGATGCCAACCCTACTGCAGGAGGGGATAAGGGCACCACAACAGGCCCTGGGTCCAGGGTGCTGCCCTTGGCAGTCAACAGGGCACATGGCAAACGCAGGGTCACAGGATGCTGGGGTCGGGGAGGCATACTGAGAGTGGACGCCCCATGGCACTCTGGAAACCCAAGATCATGAGCACGCTTTGACAGGACAACTGCTGTGGGCCTTACTCTCTATAGACAATAACCCTGACCAGCTGTGGCTATAAGAACATAAGAACACAACAGCCAGAGCCCCGGTGTGGTCCTCCCCCTCAAGCATTAGGAGCCCATATGGGCATCTGTCCTGGCTGCTCCACTCCCCATCCAGCTCCCTGCCTGTGGCCTGGGGAAGCAGCAGAGGATGGCCCAAGGCCCTGCACCCATGAGGGAGACCTGAAAGAAGCTCCTGGCTCCTGGCTTTGGATCAGCTCAGCTTTGGCTGCTGTGGCTTTTTGGGGAGTGAATCAGTAGATGGAAAATCTCTCTCTGCAAACCTATCTTTTCAATAAAAACACACATCTTAAAAAAAAAAAAAAAAGAATACAACCAGAAGTCCTCTACCAGTACTGTGCATTGGCACATGTCCACTCAAATGTCCTGACAGTGCACATGACTGAAGGGCCAGGGTCCCACCACCCCTGATGACAGCTAAAATCACAATGAGGGATAATGAGGGATGATGGACATCTGCCTTCTCTCACCACACAGGGGAGCAAACTGGTGCAGCGGCTGAGGGTGGGACAGGGAAGAGCAAGTTTGCTGGGACCTAAGTGGGTGTACCCCCAGCGTCTAGGACCCCACAGACACTGGGAGGCCAGTGCAAGTTCACAGCCTGAACTGACAGCAGGAGGGTAACCTGTAGCCTACGTGTGGCACACAGTGTGACAAGCAGAGCTGGCACCGGACAAGGCACCTGTTTGTGACTCTGCCACATCAGAAGATGCCTAGGCCCGAGGTGAACAGGGTCAACCTTTTCATGGTGCGGGAGGGCTCCAGGAAGCTGATGTGCCTGTCAGAATGATTCTGGAGTGGACATAACAGGGTGGGATGTGGAGAAGCCCTGTCCCCAACATGGAGAAGATCATCAGAGGAGGTAGTGGGGAGGTGAGGGTCCTAGCCTGTGGGAGGTGAGGGTCCTGTTCTTTCCTCAAGAGGACAAAACCCAGAAGGAACGTAATTTCTGCTCAGAGCTGCAACTTACTCCAAAACAACCACAGGCTCACACACAAGTGTATGAGGGATTCATGGTATCCTACTGAGCAGCCAGCAGGGCCCTGTATAAATGGGTGATCTGCCCTCCTAAGCTGACAACACAGATGCCCATAACCCAGTGGCCCCTATAGGTCTCCCTCCTGAAACTACCACATGGATGCTAAGGACCCAGCTACCCCATCTGGCCCTCTTCTGAGTGGCCAATGCATGTTGCAAGGCCCGGCTCAAAGGTGGCACAGCTCAGGGCCGCCCTAGAGCCTCAGGTGGCTGTTGATACCAGCACACCTCTCTCACTTTAAGTGCTGACCACTGAGATGGTGATGCTGCTGTCACTCTGACAGCATGTGGGTGTTCAGGCGTGGTTCCCACATCTTACAGAAGAACCCTAACTGTCCAAAATGAGCCTCTTCAGCAAGACCCAGGGAGGCAATCAACCTGCCCTTGCTCCTGTCAACACTGGTGTCCCTCCAGGCTCAGTCAGTGCAAGGCAAGGTGGGATGGAGAAACACATGGACATGGGCTCTCCTGGCTCTTCACAGGCTCACAGAGTGTGTGAGAGTGGCAGTCAGACCTATCAGGAGGTTACCTATGTTAACCCAGCAAGACATCTTCCCAGGGAATGGATCCAGTGGGCACCAGAGAGAATGGGCACTGGATTACCGTCAGCATCAGGAAGATGAAGGCAGATATGCCCAGGATGAGAATCTCCTTGTTGCCTTTGCCCTCTGCATGCAGCTTCCGGTAGTACGGGCCCATGAGGTACGTCTTCACAAGGAGACACAGAAGGAAGACAGCGGCCAGCGAGAAGAGGGTCTGCCCCATGAGAAGCAGGACACGCAGCATCTCCATGATGATGCTAGGAGGGGAGATGAGACCATCACACAGTCCATAATGCTCTCCCAAAGCCCAAGCCACCAAACAAATCTCCCAGGGCACACACGATCATTTAAAAAATGTATTTCGTTTTATAGGAAAGGCAGATGTACAGAGGGAAGGAGAGACAGGCAGAAATATATTCTATCGCCTGGTTCATTCCCCAAGTGACCAGAACGGCCAATCCAAAGCCAGGAGCCAGGAGCTTCTTCCAGGTCTCCCATGTGGGTGCAGGGTCCCAAGGCTTTGGGCCGTCCTCTACTGCTTTCCCAGGCCACAGGCAAGGAACTAGATGGGAAGTAGAACAGCTGAGACATGAACTGCCACCCATATGGGATCCTGGCACATATAAGGTGAGGACTTTTGCCACTAGGCTTACACCAGGCCCCAAGAACACCTTTAAAACAGTGAAATAAAACCTGCAACTCAGAAAGTCAGAGCTGTCCTTCATGGGGCTGGGCCACCCCGCAGCCTGCACTGTGTAGAGGGCCACCTGCTGAGAGCCTGGTCAGAGACTAGGAAGTTAGAGCATGCTGCCTGCAACTCTCAGAAAGTCAGAACTGTCCTCCACAGGAGCTGGGCCGCCCTGCAGCCTGCACTGTGCAGAGGGCCACCTGCTGAGAGCCTGGTTAGGGACCAGGGCAGGCACAGCATGCTGCCTGCCAAGGATGACCCCAGGCCAGAACCCCAAGGTTACATCCAGCAGGTCATGGGGACATGGTTTTCACATACATGTCTTAGGATGCCATGGTGTCTGAACACAGCTGCCCACCACACAGGCTAATCCTGATTTCCAAGTCCCTTGCCTCCTTCTGCCTCTGATATCCCACACATATATATGGCAGTTCCAGACACTTGCCTTGGGTCCCCACAGGCCCCAGGAGACTGCGGGAACTGTACTGGCAGCCAGGGAGACTCAGGAGAATGGGTGGAGAGCAGAATTGGCAGCTGTACTGTTTCCTGCCTGGACCTGGGGCTTGACACAGCAGGCCCCCAAGGCACCTCTAATTTCCTTGACAGTGCAGGTGTGTGCCATCTTAACTTCTCATTTCAAATGCCTGATAACCAATGGACCTCTTTTCATATGAGATTCGACTACTCCAAGGGTTCAGCAAGGGCCCCTGAGCACAGGAGACACTACTGGCCACTGGGCTGCATGCCAGGCTTTGTGTAGTGTTGGTCATGGGGTGGGAAGGAGGGCAGGTAGCCATGAGCCCAGGATAGTCAGCAGTAATCACAGGAAGAGATTTGACCACACACCTTCCAGTGGGAAGGTATCTTTCTGGTACTTCATCTAGTCACTCCCCTCAGGTGTGAGTCCGTCTCCCCTCAGATGCACATGTCCCATCTCCCCTCAGATGTGAGTCCGTCTCCCCTCAGATGTGTGCCCTCCATCTCCCCTCAGACGTGAGTCCGTCTCCCCTCAGATGTGTGTCCGTCTCCCCTCAGATGTGAGTACTTCTCCCCTCAGATGTGAGTACTTCTCCCCACAGATGCACATGTCCCATCTCCCCTCAGATGTGAGTCCGTCTCCCCTCAGACGTGAGTCCGTCTCTCCTCAGATGTGTGCCCTCTATCTCCCCTCAGATGTGAGTCCGTCTCCCCTCAGATGTGTGTCCGTCTCCCCTCAGATGTGAGTACTTCTCCCCTCAGATGTGAGTACTTCTCCCCACAGATGCACATGTCCCATCTCCCCTCAGATGTGGGTCCTTCTCCCCTCAGATGTGGGTCCTTCTCCCCACAAATGCACATGTCCCATCTCCCCTCAGATGTGAGTCCGTCTCCCCTCAGATGTGAGTCCGTCTCCCCTCAGGCGTGAGTCCGTCTCCCCTCAGATGCACATGTCCCATCTCCCCTCAGATGTGAGTCCATCTCCCCTCAGATGTGAGTCCTTCTCCCCACAGATGCACATGTCCCATCTCCCCTCAGATGTGAGTCCATCTCCCCTCAGATGTAGGTCCTTCTCCCCTCAGATGCACATGTCCCATCTCCCCTCAGATGTGAGTCCATCTCGCCTCAGACGTGAGTCCGTCTCCCCTCAGATGTGTGCCCTCCATCTCCCCTCAGATGTGAGTCCGTCTCCCCTCAGACGTGAGTCCGTCTCCCCTCAGATGTGTGCCCTCCATCTCCCCTCAGATGTGAGTCCGTCTCCCCTCAGATGTGAGTCCGTCTCCCCTCAGGCGTGAGTCCGTCTCCCCTCAGACGTGAGTCCGTCTCCCCTCAGATGTGTGCCCTCCATCTCCCCTCAGATGTGAGTCCGTCTCCCCTCAGATGTGTGCCCTCCATCTCCCCTCAGATGTGAGTCCGTCTCCCCTCAGATGCACATGTCCCATCTCCCCACATATGTATGTCCTATCTTCTCTCAGGTGTATGTGTCCTGTCTCCCCTCAGACATGTGTGACCTGTCTTCCTTCAGGCACATGTGTGCTCCATCTCCCCCTCAGAAGTATGTGTGCCCCGTTTCTACGTCCTGGCTCCCCACACCTTTCATCGCCTTCCTCAGATACCAGACCCAGTGGTCACTACAAACTTGCACAATGGGAGTGAAAACATCCTTACATTTAGCAGTTAGAAAAATCTGGCAAATGCAACCATATTAACACAAGATGATTCTATTTGTGACACTGGGAGACAGCACAGAGGGAAACCAGCAGCACTGAACCCCAAGACTGACACCTCACGCCCTCATGGACAGTGAGTGATACCTCACGCCCTCATGGACAACTAGGCTAGGACAGTGAGTGACACCTCACGCCCTCATGGACAACTAGGCTAGGACAGTGAGACTAGTAGAGCAACTACGAGCATACACGTTCAGGGACAAAGGTAGGAGGGCACCTGATACCTCTCCTCACAGCCTCAGACGACAGAACCAGGACAACTCTATGTACTCCATGTACCTGGAGGACGTGCCTGCTCCCGCTTGCAATAGCGTGGGCATCACAGCCATGAAGAGACCCAGCTGCACATCCTGTGCCACCAGCATGCCCAGCAGCACAGAGCTGTAGTCAATGTCACCTGCCAGAGGAATAAGTCACAGTTATCCACACATCTGAGCAACAAATAAGAATGGACTGTAACATCTTTGAGGGCATCAGATGCAGCCTACTTTGGAGTGCTGATTTGAGTCCTGGGTACTCAGCATCCCATCCAGCTCTCTGTTGATGCACCCAGAGGCAGCAGGGATGGTTGGCATGCTTGAGGTCCTGCCTCCCACGTGACAGACCCAGACAGAGCACCCAGCTCCTGGCTTTGGCCTAGTGGCCATTAGGAAAGTGAAACAGCACATTGGAGATCTCTTGTCACTCACTCCATTGAATTTATCTTTAAAGAAACATACTTCTGCAGCATCCTACCAGAGTGTGGGACATTGACCCCAGTCCCTGTACATGAGGGCACTGGGCTGATACAAGCCTTCTGCTACTGAGGGTGCAGCTGCCATGGCTGTGTGCACAGACCTGCACCAACATTCTAGGCCTCCTGTCTAGAAGCAAAACTTCCTTTCAGCATGATGCTTCTTCCCAGGGTTGCTGAAGAGTCCGAGCTTGGGCTCCTCCGGGTGTGCAAGACGTCAGCCTGAGGGCCCCTGTCTGCCTCTCTCCTGGTTTACACTTTGTTCAGGTTCACAGCCATACCTGATATGTTCTGCATATCCACTTGTTTACCACAGCAAACGTCTGCCCTACCACTTGACTTTTAAAAGTACCTTTATAAATAAGACACTGATGAGGCAGGCTTTGACCTGCAGTACGGGAATCCCATATGGACACCAGTTTGAGTCCCAGCTGCTCCACTTTCCATCCAGCTTCCTGTCATTGGCCTGGGAAAGTAGCAAAGGATGGCCCAGGTGCCTGGGACCCTGAACCCACTCTGGAGACCCAGAAGAAGCTCCTGGTTCCTGGCTTCAGATCAGCTGGGCTCTGGGGAGTGAATCAGTGTATGAAAGTGTCTCTCTGTAACTGTGCCTTTAAACCAAAAACAAAATAAATCTGAGGCTGGCGTGGTGACATGTGGCCCTCCATATGCAGGGCCAGTATCCCATGTAGGCACTGGTTCAAGTCCTAGCTGCTCCGCTTCTGATCCAGCTTGCTACCAAGGGCCTGGCAAGGCAGCAGAGAATGGCCCAGGTGCTTGGGAGCTTGCATCCACATGGGAGACTCAGAGGAAGCTCCTGGCTTCGGATCAGCTCAGCTCTGGTTATTGCAGTCATTTGGGGAGTGCACCAGCAGATGGAGAACCTCCCTCTGTGTGTCTTCTTTTCTCTATAAAACCTACCTTTCAAATAAAAATAGATATATTTTTTAAAAGGCATCTAGTTTGATGTGTCATTATTCTCTTTTCTTCTGGGTTCAGTGTTTCCTGCACTCCTGTTGCCCACAGTTCCTCTTCGTGGCTGTAAAGGTTTACTCCTCTTGCTTAGGTGTCAAAATGCAATTTCTACCAGTGCTTGGGTGAGCCTGCCTTTCCCATGTGAGGATGGCTCCCCATGACGTTGTGGTCAGTTTCGAGGTCTGGAAGGGTTTTTCTGGCCACAAGGCAGTGCTAGCTCCTCGTAGCTTGTCCTTCTTCAAGGTTATTTTTATTTATAGTGTTTTGAAAACATAACTTGAGTGGGTTCCCGGTGAAAGGTTAGATTCAGACAAGGAGCAAAGGTGCTAAGGTTAACAATACCACCTCAGAGACAGCTTGCAAGGCTGTGCCTCTTCAAGAGCAGGACCAACACTGAGGGTGGTGAACACTGCCCCAGGCTCCACCCTCCTGAAGGGCAGAAGGGCCCTGGGCTGGAGCAGGAACTCAGAACCCAGGGGGAGAAGGGTTTGCCCCCCATGATGGAAACTCAACAGCAACAACCAATGGGAGGACTCTGTTTCTGTCCCCAGACTACCTGCTTGGCAGTGTCCCTCCTCTGTTCTGCCCCATCCTCTCTAGAGCCACATCTTGGGCGGCGGGCAGGCTTGTCAGCCATGCCTCTGCTCTCCTCTGGACACCAGCCTCTGGTCTCCTTCCTACTAGCCAGGGCCACCCAGCAGCTCTCAGAAGGGCATGTTCCCCTCCGAGATCCATGAGCACCTCTTGGAGCAATCCAGACCCAGGCAACGAGTCACACTTAGTGTCAAGTGCAGCAGTGAGATAACCTCCAAAGCCTGGAAGTGAGCATCAGGCATCAGTAACTTAATGAAGGGGAAGGCAGGAACACCACAGGTAACTGAACAAAGGACAGGAAGAGACCAATCTGTTTCCTGGCAGTGTGGGTCTGCCCTCCCGGAGCAGCCCCTAGGAGAGGCCCTGTGGATGCTCAAATGGACATCACACGTCAGAATCCAATAGCTCTGAGCGTGGCCACATCACACGCAGCTGCATGGATGCTTGGAGGACAATGGAGATCAATCTAACTGCATGAGGCTTGGTCTTGCATCCGGGTCACTTCCCCCTGAGTTCAACATTCTCTGCTCAGATGAGGCTTCCACCCCAAAAATGAGTGCAGCTGGGGGCCACTCCTACAGGCCAGCGAGCTGGGCGAGGCAAACACTGGAGACCTAGTCCCTGGGCAGAGCAAGGAAGTGGAGGAGCCCAAAGACACAAGGTAGGGGGGCTGAGGCCAGGCAGGACCAAGGTCAGCCATGCTTGTAGCTTCCTGACAAAAGTAACCTCTAAGGGTCAGCTGGATAAGTTTCATGGACAATGAGCCACCTTACGAAATGACCACGAGTTTACTGATCTGGGGAAAAACAGCTTCTTTCCACACAAACACTTCCTATCTATGGGCACAGGCTACACTGATGTGCTCAGTAATGCTTGTGATTCTCAAAAATACGGATTTATTTGAAAGGCAGCATTCCAGGGAAAGGGAGAGGGAGACAGCTTCCATTCACTGGCTCACTCCCTAAATGGCTGCAACAGCTGGAGCTGACCTGAAGGCAGGAGCTTTTTCCAGGCCTCCCACGTGGGAACAGAGGCCCAATCACCTGGGCCACTCATTGCCTTCCCAGACACAATCAGGGGGCTGGATCGGAAGTGGAGTCCCAGTGTCCAGATGACATGTGGACACTGCCACAACAGCAGCCCCTGCTCTGTGATTTTTAATCCTCAGTAGTCACCCTCTGAGAAGTTTCCCCTAAGAATTGGGACTTTATGCTGTTGTTATAAATCACAGTTTTGTCCCCCTCAGGCCACGTTTTAACAGCTGCAAGTATACAAGGCTCCAACAGATTTGGTTCAGCTCCTGAGGAGGCCTCAGCCCAACCCAGCCCGAGCAGGTGTGACCGCTTTACCTCCTCACTTCAAGCTGTAGGACACCACGTGGACATTCGGCCTGGAGGCAGGATGCCCAATCCAGCTTCCTGCTAGCACAGATCTCAGGAGGCAATGGCTCAACTCCTTGCCTTCCTGCCTCCCATGTGGGAGACCTGGGTGGGGCTCTGAGTGCCCAGCTCCGGCTGTCGTGGGCTTGGAGCAGCCAGCAGACAGAAGCACTTGCTCTCCTCACGTTCTGCTACCTGCTGTTTCTCAGGTAAGTAAAACATCGCACAAACACAGAACACTGTCACCCATGTGCTAGGCACACTCACACACAGCATCACCGTGTGCCAGGCACACACTCACCCACATACCCCATTATCCGTGTGTGTTGCATGTCACCCACCTTCTTTCTCAGTGCGAGCACTGCCCACGAGGAACCTAGACACAAGGGGTGTGCTGGACAAGGATAGACAGGCGGAAATGAAGACGGTCTGTGTGGGCCCAATGTGCAGCAGGTGTCCCCAGAGCAGGCCACAGCCAATCATGAGCAGCATCACGTAGCTTGGCCCTTGGAGGGAGATCTTCCACACCTGTGAGACAGAGCCAGCAAGCCTGAGGAGCATCCACGCATGGGGACACAGCTGTGGTTCACACTGTCCACACAGGACCCCTCGGTGCCACTACCTGGACACAACCCTGTGCCTGGCCAGGCTGAGCACCTGCAGCTCCCAGGGGACAGGGAACATCAGAACAGGATGCAGGCAGCTGCACACGGGTCCCCCAGGTGTGGGAGGGATTATGGGAGTTGACTGCCTGCTGAACTAGCCGCCAACTGTGTTCGGCTGGTCCTTTCCAGGTCTAGACCTGACTCAGTGGAAAGTGTAAGACCTGTGACACACCTGGGCCGGTGCAGCAGCTCAGGCAAATGACCAGTTGTTTCCGGGTTTAGATTCTCAGCCTGACTGCTGAAGAAGCTTCCTGTGCGTTTCCCATCAGACTCTGATGGCTTCAGTTAACAAGCTGCCTGCTCTGCCACAGGGTCAGGCACCTGAGAGACAAACCCTAGGGTGTAAGCTCCCTGGGGGCCTCGCTGCGGCCACCAGCATCTGAGGAAAGCACAGGGATTCACCTCCATGTGAGAGACGACCTGCTGGCTCCTTCAGGCTGTGCTATGGTATGGCTGTTCATCTGCAGGCCAGCAGTAAAAAGGGACAGCAAACAAGGGACCCAGCAGTGAAGCCTGTTTCAAGGAAACCACATTCCCAGGCTTGCCACTAGGTGGCAGCAACAAATCCTTCCCTCCCAGCCTAGGTCACCAAGGAGCAACTTACAGTCATTTGGGTACAAAATCCCCCAGAAGCACTGGGGTGGTGCTGGCAGGCCATATAGGCACGGGTTCCTGTCCTGCTTTCTTGACTTCCCATCCAGCTCCCTGCCTATGGCCTGGGAAAGCAGTGGAAGATAGGCCAAATGCTTGGGCCCTGCACCCACGCCTTATATTGACCTGACCTTGTTATGGTTGCTGCGGCCATCTAGGGAGGGAACCCCCAGATGGAAAATCTCTGTCTCTCCCTCTGTAACTCTTCCAATATATATACCACTCTTCCAAAAAATTTATATCTATGTACATATACACACATATACATACAACACTATATATATAGCATTAACACAGATGGAAAACATAGCATTAACACTGGTAAAGATAGTCTTCATTATTGTTTAAAAGTTTAAAATTGCCACGGTGGGGCAGACATCTGGCACACTGTCCCACACTGGAATGCCTGGGTCTGAGTCCCAGCTAGCTAGCCCTGGCTGTTGCATGTCCCCAACACACATGTGTGAAACCCAGACTGTTTCTGGTTCTTGCCCTTGGCTAGCCCAGCTCTGGTATTGTGGGCACCCGGCAGTGAGCACAGCAGGGAGGTCTCTGTCTCAGCCTTTCAAAAGTACCAAATTGGGGACCAGCGTGGTAACCTAGCGGCTAAAGTTCTTGCCTTGTACCCACCATGATCCATATAGGTGCCAGTTCTAATCCCGGCGACCCCACTTCCCACCCAGCTCCCTGCTTGTGGCCCGGGAAAGCAATGGAGGACAACACAAAGCCTTGGGATCCCAGACCCGCGTAGGAGACCCGGAAGAGGCTCCAGGCTCCTGGCTTTGGATCGGCACAGCTCCAGCCATTGCAGCCACTTGGGGAGTGAATCGTTGGACAGAAGATCTTTCTGTCTCTCCTTTTCTCTGTATATCTGCCTTTCCAAAATAAATAAATAAATAAATAAATAAATAAATAAATCTTTTTTAAAAATATACAACATTCACTTTACGCCTTGCAACATTCCTATTACATTTCAGATACTACAGAAAGGAAGACAGTAACTTGGAAAATGTAGAGCCGGCACAAACTCCTCTGAAATTTCTCACTGGACATGGAGTGGTCAGTGCCCTCTGAAGACCCTGCCAGCCAGCAGCAAAACCAGAATTGTACCAGTCTGCCCTGCCCATCACTGCTTGCTGTAAGTGTCCATGGGTCTGACAAAGAAACCCACACAGGCCCACACAACACAAGGGCACAGAGCCCTGTATTTCACAGTACAGGCTAAGACAGTTCTGGTCCAGGCAGGGCCTGCTTCCTCCGGAGAGGCAGGCTTCACGGTACTGACCCCCACACATGCAATGCCCAGGGATGTGCTGCTTCCCCGAGAGCATGGGAAGCTGAAGACACACAGTGCTCCCAGCCTCTGGTACTCTTCAGGGCACACTACAGCCAGGCCTGCGTCGGACCTCACAACGCGTGTCAGACTGACCGTTTGCCCACCACTCCCTGCTGCCTCCAGGGGGCACCGTGGCAGGAAGCTTGGAGTAGGGGGGAACCTGCATTCAGAGTGGCTCTGCAGCTGGCCATATCACAGCTCCTCTGTGTGTGTCATGTTCTACACAAGACACCCAACAAGCAGTACCTTCTATTCCACAACCTGTGGGGCTCACCTTCCTCAGCTTCTCCGGGGAGAACTCCAAGCCGACCAGAAAGAGTGTGAAGAACACCCCAAACTCTCCCAGAGTCTCCACTTGCACAATCGACTGAAAAACAAGCAGAGGTGGGCTAAGAGAGGCTCAGACTCTGGGAAACATGCACGCGCGCACACACACACACACACACACACACGCTGACTGAGGCTCAGACTCCAGGGAGTATGAACACACACACACACACACACACACACACACGGGCTGACTGAGGCCCAGACTCCAGGGAACATGCACACACAGCCGGTTGAGGCAGTCCTCAGCTCTCCTGCAGCCGAGAATCTGGGTCACCTGGTCCCAGATGTCCCCCATTTTTGCTTCATGCACTCTACTCCTGGACTCGCTGCAGCCCTACCTTCATGAGCTTTGGTTGTGCTAGGGCCCAGTGTGTCACAGCAGTGAGTTCACTCAGAAGACACCTCTCTCCAGTCCCCCTGAGGCTGAGTCTCCTGGCCCCACCAGAAATGGACCAGCCTCGCTGTCTAAACTGCTTACATTCATCTGGCAACAGGGTGTGTACGTGTTGCCACACACAACCTGCTCCCGTGTGACTGACGTCTGAGGATCTCAGAACTCGTGCTGTCCTCTTTGGCCTTTCATGGTCACTTTAGTCTCTCAAGTTTATTTATGTGAAAGGCAAAGTAGAAAGAGTGGGAGAGGACACCCAGCAGCCACCACAGCCAGGCCTGTGCGAGGTAGGAACCAGGGGTGAGTTCCGCACATGGGGGCAGGGGCCGAGCACTTGGGCCACTCTGTTGCTTCCCCCAGGTGCATTAGCAGGGAACGGGATGAGAATTGGAGCGACTAGAACTTGAACTTGTGCCCTCATGGGATGCCAACATCACAGATGGCAGCCTTACCTCTTCCAGTACAGTGCCAGCCCTCCCTGTACTTCATCCTTATCAGACCTCTGGTTTATAGGATGTCCTTTGAGCACTCCCTGCAAGCCTCACTTTGTAAGATGGGTGTTTAGTACAGTTCAGCCTGCACCTGGGTCAGAGTGCCTGCCTGACACCACGCCCAGCGTCCTGCTCACACACCCTGGGGGAGCAGAGTGCCTGACACCACGCCCAGCATCCTGTTCACACATCCTGGAGGAGCAGAGTGCCTCACACCACGCCCAGCGTCCTGCTCACACACCCTGGGATCAGGCCAGCATCAGTTCAAGCATGTGGGTCCCTGCCGCTCACACAGCAGCCCAGGCCGAGTTCCTGCTTCTTACTTCTGGCCTGGCTGGAGCTGTTAGAGCTGTCAGGGCTGTTGGTGAGGAATCTAGCAGACAGGGGTTCTTTCTCCATGTTAACCTGCCTTTCAAATAAAATGGGGAAAAAAGAGCTTAAAGCAAATAACTAACACTGGGCAGCACCGTGTCCTGTGTGTGTGCTGAGATGGGTGTTTGCTCATTTACATCTCACTTTATGTCTGTATCGTTACTTCCTTGCTGTGACTTTTATTTTCTTCAGTTCTTAAAATTAGACTGCAATTTAGGACTTCAACAGTTTAAAACCTATGCCTCTTTGGGCTGGTATTGTAGCACAGAGGGTCATGCTGCCACCAGCAAGGCTGACACCACCATGGGCTCCATTCGAGTCCTGGCTGCTCTCCACTGTGCTTCAGGAGGCAGGTCCAGTGCATTTTCCCTGCACTCACATGGGAGAACCAGCTGCCGTTTCAGGCTCCTGCCTGGCTGCTGTGACCACCTGCAGGGTGAACCAGTGCCTACATCTCTCACTTTCTCTTCCAAATACACCCATAAATCCTTAGGAAAGACAAGCATCAATGCTTCTTAAAAATGTCAAGCTCATCCACGTCCTGCCGGTGATGGTGAACAGTCCAGGGGTGACTCTGCCCCAGCCCCAGGGCCAGTGCGTGCTCCTGTCTCCTGCTTCTGAAGACTGACTTAGGAATTGGCATAGTCACCATGTCCAGCTGCTTAGGAGCCAGCTTTACTGTTTGTAAGGAGAGCACGGTTCTCCTTGCCAACCCTGGGAGAGGAGTGGGCCAGGAGGGGAGAGGCTTTGCCTCAGCTCTCCGTCAGGAAAAGCAGCCAGACAGGGACACTGGACACTCCTACCAGAGTCTGTCATGAGCTCAGCGTTGAAGGCCAGGTGCAGCCCGGAGGCCCAGGCAGCCGGACACAGTTCCAGTCATGAGCATGGAGGTTCTCTGACCTGGGTTAGCGTGTGAACTACATATGTGTCCATCATATATGTGCTTTCAAGACAGTGCAAGAGGTTTAGGAGGAGCATGTCGTAGCTCACTGTGTGTGTTTGTAGCTGTCTGTCCGTGCGTGTGTGTAGCTGAATGTCTGTCCATGTGTGTCTGCAGCTCAGTGTCCATGTGTGTGTATGTGCGTGTGTCTGTAGCTGTCTGTCCATGTGTGTGTCTGTGGCTCACTGTGTGTGTGTATGTATGTGTGTGTCTGTCTGTGGCTCACTGTCCGTGTGTGTATGTGTATCTGCAGCTCACTGTCAGTGTGTGTGTGTGTGTGTGTCTGTAGCTCACTGTCTGTCCGTGTGTGTGTCTGTCTGCGGCTCACTGTGTGTGTGTCTGTCTGTCTGTCTCTTTAGCTCACTGTCCATGTGTGTCTGTAGCTCATTGTCCATGTGTGTGTGCACACATGTGTCTGCAGCTCATCTCCTGTCCATTATATATGTGCGTCCACGGCTCTGTCCATCTCACAGCATTGCCCCTTAGTTGGGGGCTCCCAGTGGCCTTCCCCATTCGCCCACATTGTGTGTGCTTGGATGCTGGCCTTGGGAGCCCCAAATGCAGAGGGGCCTTTTCTTCCAGCAGGGGGCATCTGCCTGTCCCAGCAACAGCCTAGAGGAGAGCAGCTGCCAACTCGGGCCCTGGCCAGTCTCCACACCCCGGGGATAGTTCAGGATGACCCGCTGCCCAAGGCCTCTTCAAGGGTCTGGTCCATCTTCAAAGGAGATGACCTGAAGCGAATCAGGTCAATGTGCCCTGGCTAGGCCACCCTGCTTGGTGAGCACAGGGACCTCCCAGCCTATGGGGTCTCTGACAGACCCTCAGGGTCTTCTAGTCTCCACAGATGTTCCTTTTTCATCTCTCCAGGATGGGGCAACCTTCTGGCTGCCAGAAGCCATGTGGACATCTCACATCACATCACATCATGATGTCCCCCACCCATGGACAGAGCCTCTCACCTTGATGCTGTTGAGTCCCGAGGGGCCCAGCAGGACCCCACAGATGACATGGCCGAACATGGAGGGCAAGCCGACGGCAGTGCAGAGCCAGCCACAGGGCAGAGACAGCATCACAATGGTGACAATGTCCTGGGCAGAGCAAAGCAGAGACATGCGCTGGCAGGGGCCACAGCCCTGACTACATCTCAGGGGCCAGGAGGGGAGCTTCAGTGACCCCCCTCCTGGGATGTCCCTGTGGACCCCAGGGAAGACACCCATGTGCTGGCCAATGAGGCTCAGCCTGGGGGAGGGGCCCCCACTGCTCCTGCCCCATCCCCTAATCCCTCAGGACACTGGGCCGGAGGCCGTTCCTGCACAAATTCCCTTTTGAGTGAACAGGCCACTGCCTGGCTTCCCTCTGGGCCGCAGCCTGTCAATCCCATCTCATTTCCTCCGTGGCTCTGCCTGATCCCTTGGGGGCCCCATCTGTAAGAGGCCACACAGGACTCCCCACCGCCATGTTCTCAGACAGCTGGGGGCAGGATCTAGCACAGTCTTCCCACATTTCACGTTAAATATGGACATGCCTGTTCCACCAGGAAACAAGAAGAAAGCTGAGCAAGAAAACTCTAATCAAGGAGAATATAGCATGCTGGCAGCACTCCATGCAGTGCTCAGCCACCAAGGCATGCCTGGCCCACGGTGCCCACCTTGATCAAGTGGTGGTCAGCCCGAGGGATGGTCGAGTCCCTGGGCTTGGTCAGCACGTACTGGTTGTTCTGGGAGTCGATTAGCATGCTGAGTCCCAGGTCCCCCTGTGTGTCTCGCCTTGTCATGTTCTGCTTAGAGCTGGCCTCCTCTTCCTCCACCCTCAGGACGGCCTCAAAATTGACCCCTCTGACCTGAAAGAGACAGGGCGCGTGCAACAGCAATCAGACGATCTCACACTCAGAATTTGCAAAGCAAGTGACCCCAGGAGGATGGCCACAGAGGTACAGCCATGGGGGACGACCAGGGGCGATGGCCATGGGGGATGGCCACAGTGGGACAGACATGGGAGGATGGCCATGGGGGATGGTGGGAGTGTGCTAGCACTCTGTGAAGTGTCCACTGGCTCAAGATGCGACCTCCAGGATCAGAAGATTCCAGATTTCTGCTGCTGCCGGTATCAACTTCAGGGCATTCTGTCAGCAGCCCAGGGCTCTCAAGCCCCTTACGCCCAAGACCACTCAGCTTGCAAGCACCCATATGCATTCTCCTCTGCCCTTTCTGCACTGGCCCTGTTCTTGTCTGCTTCGTAACAGAGGACTCCGAGCATCTGTCCACACAGACTCACGGCCAGTTTTCAGCATAAATCTTGACTTTTCCCTTGGAATCTTGGACACATTGTGACCAGCAGGCAGCCAAGGCCACATCTTTGGTGCAAAAGGTGTTTCCAGCAAAGTTTACTGTCTAGCCTTCAGTCCTGGGACTCGCCTGCCAGAGCCTACGGCAACCAGAGGTCCAGTACCACTGGCAGCACAGCTGGGACAGCTATATGCAATGCCACGAGACATTGGGGGCAATAAAAAGAGGCCCTCTCCATCCTGGGGACAGAGCCAGCCATCCCCGGCCTCTGCTCCCAGCATTGACCGTGGTCTGTGAACACAGCCCTACCGACTTGTTGTCATCGAAGGCATGCTCGCCGATCTCCTCCTCCAGGCGGTCGGCTGCCCTGCGCACATCCTCCAGGATCTCATCCAGCATGGACAGGCTTTGGTTGCGATGCTGCATGTTTTTAAGGGCTTCCACCTGATGCTTTTCCACAGCCACAAGTTCCACATATTCAGTCTCCTCCTAAGCATTTGTAAGAAACAGTAAGACTATTAGGCAATCACCACCCTGCAGGCTGCTGCTGGAGAAGGCGCAACTCTAGCCCTACCCAGCTGGGCCCACACGGCGCTGAGCCCAGCCAGCATTTGCGGACAGCCGCTCGCTCACACACACAGTCGCACATGATTGCTGCCCTGACTTCTGAAACATTCATCCACATCTATAAGAATGGAACCAGCAAGCACGCTGCAGGCACCCTGTCACCACGGCCACCTTCATGTGTCTCTGACACAGCTGCAGGTGCAAACGCCAGTGAATCCCAGACAGGGGCTCAGCGGTGCACAAGAGTCATGCAAGTGGTGTGAGGGATGTGGACTGAAGCCAGTCACTCAAGCTTGTGTCTGATCTGCTTCATGACAAACTTGGAGCCCAATTTACACCAGAATCTCGAGGTCACAGTCCCCTGACCAAAGATGGCTCCTGGTCTCTCTTCATGTGTGACAGCAGTCATGGGGTCCACACACACACACATGCAACATGGGCAAGATGACTGACTGGGCTCACACACCTGTATAACACAGGCAGCAGGAGACTGGTCAGGGCTCTCACAAACCTTGACAAAAACATCAGACTGATTACCCTATTTGTACTAAAGAATCATATTTTTGTACAGAAAACTGAGTTAAGTCTACATTTTCTCTCCCATTCTAAGCTGAGATAATACCGTGGTTTTCCTAGGAAGATGCAATGCCATCCCATGTCCCTTCAGGCTGCGGCAGCAGCTGGAGCTTCCACAGGGGCCAGAGAAATGACACTTTCAGAAGCCCACACAACTGACAGGGTCTGGCCCACGGTGTGGGAAGGCGGCATACCTAACACCATGCCTGAGATTCTATTCTCATCCTTTTTGAGTGAGCTGGGACAATGTCCTCCTCTGAAATGTATACATTTTTCAACGCTAACCTTGGATAGCGATGGAAGGAACCCGCCACACGCCATGGCAAACACTGACAGAGGCTGCACACAGTGGGGTCCAGGCCACGAGCCTGGGTCTACAGTGTCCTCGGACAGTGCTGTGGGCAAGCCCTATGGGGATGAGGGCAGGATACCAGGAGGTTCCCCTGCAGGACCCTGAGGCTGAGCAAGCGATGTTTTGGTCAGGGGACCCCAGCAGCAGGTCTCTCCCTGTCTGAGGGGCTTCCCACAGCAAGCAGCCCTGCCTCGCATCCCAGCCTTACCTTGATGGCAGCCTCCCGCAGAGCCTCAAGCCGCTGCCGGCTACTCTCCTTCATGTTCACGACGTCCTTGTAATCACCCTGCAGGGCACGCTGCAGCCCGTGGATGGCCTGGAAGACTGAGTTCTCACTTTCATTCAGCTCCTTCTGGAAAATCTCAAATGTATGCACTTGGAACAGCTTCTCCTCCTCCGACAGCCCAGGATCTCGCTCCACAGCCCGGACAGCATTCCTCAGCTTGTCCAGCACCACACTCTTCTGATGTAGGAGGCTAGACAGCCTCCTGCAGCCGCCCAGCAGCCACTGCCGGCGGGGGGCCATGGCAGCAGCCTTGCCACGGTGCAGCTTGATGACATGCCTGGCCACCTCCTCGTGCTCGGCCGTGCCGGCCAGCCAGGGCAGGCCCAAGAGCAGCGCCCAGCAGAGAGGCTGTCCCAATGGCATCCTCATGACCAAGGCGGAGAGGCCACGGGCAGGCAGTACAGGGGCCTCTGCCAGGCAGAGCTTGCATTTTACAGCTGCATCTTCAGCTGGAAAACAGGGTTGTGGCAATGTATGTCAGGACAGGACTCATTACCAGCATGTCAGCACTCAATTCCCCAAGAGTCACCTTTCTGAGGACAGTCCCTGCCATGCCAGAATCACTTGTAAACCCTCCACCCAGTTCAAAACAGAGTTCAAGTGTAATATAAGCTGAGGAAGGGCCTGCTGGGCTCAGCACCAAGCTGAGATCCCAGGTTGGTAACCCCAAAGCCAATGTGGTTTGTAAAGACCATCTGGGATGGTGTGACGGCTCAACTGGCTAATCCTCTACCTGTCAGCACCATGTTCATGTCATGTCATGTCATGGGTGCTAGTTCATGTCCCAGCTGCTCCACTTCCCATCCAGCTCTCCACTTTTGGTCTGGGAAAGCAGCAGTGGATGGTCCAAATGCTTGGGACCTGCACCCATGTGGGAGACCCAGAAGAAGCTCCTGGCTTCAAATCAGCTCAGTTTTGTCTGTTGTGGCCATTGTGGTATGAACCAGTGCATGGAAGCTCTCTCTCTCGCCTTCTCTCTGTAAAATCTACCTTTCCAACAAAAATGAATCTTTAGAAAACAAAACAAAAATGTTGTCTGCCACACATGCCCTGTACAGCAGGCAGGAGCAAACTCCACGGAAGTGGTCCGTGAGTCACCAGCTGGGTGCGCCCTGAGGCGCTGCCACCATCAGTGTGTATAGAGCCTGCTGGGCATGCGGCCTGGCCATTCTGGTCACGTCCAGTCAGCCACAGTCAGGGCTGATGAGGCAGTAAAGGTGGCAAGGAGAGCGTACCTGGATGTCTGGACCACAGAGCTGCAGGCAGCTTCTCGTCCGTGTTTCCGGGGAACCTAGAACAGCATAGCGACGGGTCAACCTGGTACGTGCAGTGTGTGGGGAGCCCTCTTTTAGGCAGATATTGGACAAATGAGGCGACTTCCATGGGCAGTGTGGAGAACGTACAGAGGGCAGCTCAGAGCCTCTAGCAGGCAGTGGATGCAGCAGTCAGCAAAGCTCACCACGAAACGCTGAGCTGTGAGGCTGGAGACAGCCTGGTAAGAAACACCCAGGGAACCAGCCAGGGGCGGCCTGTTGAATGCCAAAACCCAAGGACACAGGAACTGTCACTTGCAGAGTTCTATCCCCAAGGGAAAATCAGAGCACTGATACAGAAAGCAGCTCCGTGGGGAACAGGCCCCTCTCAACCAAGACCTGGGGGAACACACACCCACCCCGCTTTGAACAGTGACACCCCACACGCTACCCTGCTGTGTTACTCAGACATCAAATACACCAACACTCCCCCGCCCAGGGGTCTGGTCTCATAAATGGTAAACATGCTGCAAATGTCACTGCTATTGCTAACTCTTATCACTTCCATCTAGTTTCCAGGCAAACAGATGAAGTGTAGCAGAGAAGGAGAGATTTCTTGACGCCACTGTCACCTCAAGGAACACCGCCAAAAGCAAACCACCCATATTCCGTAAGAAACCTGGAGCTCCACTCAGCTGCCCTCGATTCGTCCTGTCGGTCCCACTTGCCGGTTGTCAGGCCAAGAACCCAGTTCAGGGAAGTCTATAGTGGGCTAAGTGTGGGACTTGAAGACCCTGGAGACCCTACCTCCCAAGGAGAAGAGTTCAGGCCACGCAGGAAGGACTTACCCAGTGCAGGTGGTGGCTGCTGGCCTGCACAGCAGGTGGCACGGCTGTGCTCCTGGGACAGCTGCCACCTGGGAGACAAGCCGAGCTCATTGCCACGCAGAGCAAACACGGATGTGTGAGTTCAGTGACTCATTCAGCTGCCCAGGCACTTGTTTCAGGGAGAAAACGTGTGTCCGTCTGGGTCACCCAGGGCTAACACGGAAACTGAGCAGTCCAGCATGGCTGTCCCTTGGTCCCAAGGCATAGGACCCCAGCCTATGGCGCCCTTGTGTCCAGCCCTGCCCAGCAGTCCTGCATGGCTGTCCCATGGCCCAGAGGCACAGGACTCCAGCCTATACTGCCCTAGTGACCAGCCCTACCCAGCGGCCCTGCAAGGCTGTCCCATGGCCCCGAGGCACAGGATCCCAGCCTATGGCGCCCTCGTGCCCAGCCCTGCCCAGGCTGCTGACACCTGGCACTGCTCAAGCTACACCTACAGCACTGCTCTTTTCTCTGAGGACTCAAATAATGGTCACATCAATTTTCCTCTGAAACACTTAGCACATAAAATTATTTACCAGTCATTAAAACTGGGCTATGTCTTTTCTTAAAACACTTGTCCGTTTACTTCCAAATGTATCTACAAAGTTTTATGGACAAACGGAAGTATAGGTTTTTCTTTTTTAGTAAATTAGTCAACATACTTAGTTTCAGCGTTATCATTGCTATTCTTGGTTAGTAAAAAGACCATTCAGGGGCCAGTACTGAGGCACAGTGGGCTAAGCAGAAGCCATCACCCTCTATGAGAACTGGTTCACAGCCCAGGCTGCTCTACTTCCCATCCGGCTCCCTGCTGACGGCTGAGAAAGCAGTGGAGGATGGTCCAAGCAGTGCTTGCACCCTGGCACCCACATGACAGACCGGAACGCAGTTCCAGGCTTCTGCCTCGGGCCTGACACAAGCCCCAGGCCACTACAGCCATCTGGGGAGTGGATCAGCAATAGGAAGATCCCTTTCTCTGTCTCCCTCAGTTCTTGTAACTTCCAAAGAAAATATACCTGTAATTAGCTTTGACCATTAGGTCTTTACATTTCTGTAATTTCAGCTATTGACACAGCAACAAGTTGGGTGACAAGGCTGTGTGAAAAGGGAAGCTCGGTCCCAGACTGCAGGATGAAGACATAATGGCTGACAACAGTGAAATCCTGCAGCCAGGGGTCAGGGGTCAGGGCCAACACAGGGGCTCCTCACGGCATGCACCCCACACAGGGACAGGATTCAGGGCCGAGACAGGGGCTCCTCACAGCAGGCACCCCACATGGGGACAGTCAGGGCCGACACAGGGGCTCCTCACGGCATGCACCCCACACAGGGACAGTCAGGGACGACACAGGGGCTCCTCACGGCATGCACCCCACACGGGGACAGTCAGGGCCGAGAATGGAGCAAGGGCTCCTCACGGCATGCACCCCACACAGGGACAGTCAGGGCTGAGACAGGGGCTCCTCACGGGATGCACGTCATACCGGGACAGGACTGTCCAGGTGTGCATGTCTGCACACACCTAACTACATCCACCCACGTAGGTGCACAGTTACAGCTACTGCTTGTATCAGTATAAGGCACCCCTGAGGACCTGAACATTTAGTAAGGTGCCTGTGAGGCCACAAGCTCTCCAAGTAGAAAGGCTTTTAAGTCCTGGGTGACTCACGCAGCAGAACCAGATCTGCAGCATTCTCAACTCAAGGGGACTTTTCATTTGGCAGGGTGGGAAACATCTGGCCTGGAAACCAGTCCATCCACAGCGGGCGAATTCTCAAGTGGGTGGCCCCTGGCAGAAAAAGAGTTCCTCAGCCCAGATCCAGAGCGCCAGGAAAACCAGTGCTGTGAGCCTTGCACTCCAACCGTCTACACTACATGGATGCCCATCTCCCCACTTTGCCAAACACACAGTGGACTTTGTTTTTACAAACACAGAAGAGGAATCACAAAACTAACTTGAAGATTGATGAGAATTCAATGAAAGAAAAAAATACCTTTCTCATCTTTCTAGGAAGTATTTAATAAGCATATTTTTAAAGTAAATCCCCCAGTAGGAAATGAGTAATTTGCTGTCTCTACTTAAACAAGGCTGTGCACACTATCAGCTGACCAGCTAAGGATGCATGTCATTGCCTCACTGGAGCGTTGTCACCATGTTCCCAAGAGGGCTTCGCATCTGAGTTCTGTGCCTCCTAGCTTTCCTCTTGCTTCCACAGGCCTTCATTTCTCCCATCGTCCCCATCTTCGGAACCCTCACGAACCCCTCTCCGTGTGCTGGGAGGGCTCTCCCTCTCTTAGCAGGCTTTCTCAGCAGGGTCAGACAGCTCCACCTGGATTTTATGCCTTTTGTCTACAGACCCGCATCAGTCGACTTTCTCTAAACTGCCTGCAATGCAGATGGTTCACTCTGGATTAACTCATATTTTGATTCTTGCCAAAAGATCCAACGACGTTTCTGTAAAGCACAGGTGCACACACAGAGGAAACTTGAACTCTAGTTGAAGTAAAGGCAGATCTTCCCACAGATCCCTCGGATCTGCCTGAGTTATCAGCTTTCCCTGTGTCTGGTGTGGCCACAACTGTATTCCTACTGGCAGATCTTCCCATGGATCCCACGGATCTGCCCGAGTTACTGGCTTTCCCTGTGTGTGGTAGCACCCATTGCACCTCTGCTTTCCTCTGATCTCTGCTGCGACTTGGACTGCTCCATGTAAGCTCCACGTGTTCGGTTCCAGCCACATCTTCCACAGTGCGTGCGGGGTCAGCAAGCCGCAGCCACCCATGCAACCAGAGAACACCTCAATGACTTTCTTTAAGACTCCGGAGAAAAAGGGAAACGGATTCACCATCAAGCTCCTCCAAAAACAGGACCCCAAAACATCTCCTACCAACCCACACTGCTGACTCCAGAACTTCCTGAGGAATGGGTGTCAGGGCGGCCAGGCTGAAGCCTGGCTGAGGCCCAGCGCTCCGGGTCCGGTCAGGACGCACAGCCCACGAGCCGGCCCCGGCCTCCGGCCTGCAGGGGCTGCTCAGGCCGCCTCACCCGCCGACCCCGGCCCTCACGCCCGTACTCACTGTGCGTCCCCCTAGACGACCAGCGACAGGACGCGGGCTTTTCTGATGGGAATGGCAGCGAACCCCGACACGGGGCGCAGAACCGCGGGGACACCCTCGGCCCGCGGACGCCGCCCGACCCGGGTTCGAGCCCCGCGACCCCACGAGCCCCGGCTTGGGGCGGCACCCTCGGCGCGGCTGGCTGCACACGCCCGCTTAGCGGCCCCTTTAACGCGGCCAGCGGGCGACGCCGTGCACGCCGGGAGTCGGGGCAGCCGCCGCACTTCCGCCCCACCGCGGCTGCGCCTGCGCAGAGCGTGGGTCCACAGACTAGGTGCGCGGGCCGGAAGGGGTCGGTGCGGCTGGTTCCCGTAATCTCTGGGAGCGGCTGGACATGCATGAAGGCCGTCATCCTGGGTGGGCCCTCCTGGGCAACAGAGCGCGTCCAAACCTCAGATTTTAGAGCTTGCATTGAGGAGGGAGTCTGTGAGGTGACGCCAACTTCTTAGAACCGCGTTGACCTCTCGTGTTTGCTTCCCGTCCCTTGGCGGCTGCCCCTTCAGAATCAGCCCCTCAGTGCCATGCTTCCTCGGCCAGGGCGGGCACTGGGGACGCAGAACAGGGACGTGGGTGGCCACAGTGCAGGTGTGGGGATGGTGGGACACAGTGGACAGAGAAGCTGTGTGGCTGCAGTGCAGGTGTGGAGATGGTGGGGCACAGTGGACAGGGATGTGGGTGGCTGCAGTGCAGGTGTGGAGATGGTGGGGCACAGTGGACAGGGATGTGGGTGGCTGCAGTGCAGGTGTGGAGATGGTGGGGCACAGTGGACAGGGATGTGGGTGGCCGCAGTGCAAATGTGGGGATGGTGGGGCACAGTGGACAGGGATGTGGGTGACCACAGCGCGACTGTGGGAATGGTGGGGCACAGTGGACAGGGATGTGGGTGGCCACAGCGCGAGTGTGGGGATGGTGGGGCACAGTGGACAGGAACCTGGGTGGCCACAGTGCTGGTGTGGAGATGGTGGGGCACAGTGGGCAGGAACCTGGGTGGCCACAGTGCAGATGTGGGGATGGTAGGACACTGGACAAGGATGTGGGTGGCCACAGTGCTGGTGTGGGGATGGTAGGACACTGGACAAGGATGTGGGTGGCCACAGCACGGGTGTGGGGATGGTGGGACGCAGTGAACAAGGACCTGAGGCAGGTGGACGGGGCTGAGCCGGAGCTGCAGGCATGCTTCCCACGTGGGTGGCATGTCCTTGAGCCGCCCTGGGCACCTTTCATATCAGCCAGCCTCTGTAGCCAGGAGCTAGATGGGAAATCAGACTCAGGCTTCTGGAGTGAGTTGCAGACACATGAGTCCTGGAGTAAGAGCCAAGTCTAAATTTAGCTTTTAATTTCATTTTTTTGGTGACACTTTTGAAGTCCTGTTGCTTTCTAAGTCTGGCTTCTTTCACTGTGCATGTTTTGTTTTGTTTTTTGAAAACCCTGATTTTAAAAGTTTGAATTTTTTTATTTGAAAGATAGTTAGGTCTTCTGTCCATTCTCGCTATCCCAATGCTCAGTATAGACCAGAACAGAGCTGGCAGCCTGGAATTCCATCTGTGCTCCCATGTGGCCAGAACGTGCATGCCTATCAGCTACCTCACAGCGTGTGCATGGGCGTGGATGGGACTGGGGCAGGAGCAGGGTCAGACCTGAATGCAGGCCCTGTGTGTAGCGTGCAGATGGCCAGCTGGTATCCGGACTGCCCAAACACCCATGCAGCCTAAAGTCTGGCATGGAAGTGCTTTTTTCTTACTTCGTACTGATGTGGACATGCTCAATTTGCCTTGTGACCATGGTGGGATTTTGAAGCTTGGCACCAGGGACTCTGCCTGTAGTCC